TTGCCTTCAATATTGATAACCAACTAGGGTTTCTCATTTCCCGTAAATTTAGCATCCCGGGATTCCCGGTGTGTAACTTATTTATCCCGGGATTTCCCGGGATTTCCCGGCATAATTTTTAATATAATAACAAGCGGTTTCTGACACAAATTTATCTTAGCACGCTAATCTATATTACTATTTAAAATGAAATATTGTTTTAAAAAACATAAACAATCAGTTGATTTGTCACTTAATCGTGAACGAATTTTTCCCATAAATAGACCCGCGGCAGAAAAAGCCCTTTCTGATTCAATTGATGTCGGCTTGATTGTCATTAATGCGGAATACATTCTTTTTAGACTTTCGCTACGCTTTCCAGTTGCCTCAAAAAGTTTGATTTCTTTTGTGATGTTTTTTAAATTGCTAATGTCTTCTAGAGCTGCTTTTTCTACTTGTTTGACATTACAAATAGTCGCATCCAATTTTTGTTCAAGTGTCAAAATACTTTTGCCTAATAAATATGGAGCAACAGGTTGAGGTATTGACGGGTCAGAAACCATGCTTTCATTATCACGACTCACTTCAACTATTTCATTATTTGATGAACTAAGGCTAGCATCCTCTATGTACAACCTGGTATAAATTTTTTTTGCTGTTGCTTTTAATGCATGTTTAAATACAAAAATTATTAAATATTTCAATAATTTGATACAGAAAAAGTTTAACTTTTCAATAATTTAGAAGTTTAAAAATTAAACTTACTGTTTTCGTCGCAAGAAATCTTTTTTATTTTTTACTCATATTTTATAATAATGAGAAAAAAGAAAACATTGCATTGCAATGCATTTCTTTTTAGTTTAAGATAGTTTCAATAGCATTTCTTGTTGTGCTAGGTTTTAATATAAGGTATGAACACATAAAACACAACTAAATGCAATAATATTTTTCTTATTTTTGGTCGAATTAGTTCAAAGTTATCATATGTAAAATTATTTTAAAAAAAATTATATTCCGGGATATAAGAGTGATATCCCGGGAAATCCCGCTGCTACTTTTATCCCCGGGATCCCGGGAAAACGGGATCCCGGGATCCCGTTTGAGAAACCCTATAACCAACCCATTATCACAACGCCTATGGCGTGGATAACCATTGTGAATAGCTACTGTGTTGGCATTAAAATCTTTAGGATAATTTTTGCTGCACACCCCATCTTTCATGGAGGGAGAATTTGGATTCAGTATCCCACGTGGCCCGTGAATCATGCAAGTTTTGATAATATCATAAAGTTCACGATTAACTATCGGATCTGGAATTTCTGCACAAATCAAATTATCGACATCCTGTGATGTTTCAAGTTTATCCTCATTTGCTAAATGAAGTAAAATGTGGGCATCAAATTACCGATATCCTGTGATGTTTCAAGTTTATCATCATTTTCTGAATGAAGTAAAATGTGGGCATGCAAAATGTGGGCATGCGGCAAACCACGCTTTTGAAACTCAATAACCTGAACATGCGTTACAACTTTGCCTAATACACCATGTTTGAATATATCATTGAGGAGGTTATTTAACTTGAGTTTAAAAACTCGAGTAACGAAATCAGGTCTATCATTCGCATTCTGACCCGGATATAAATTTTCTGTTATTTCACGCCATTTTGGTTTGCAAGTAAAAGTAATAAAAAGATCTGGTTTACCATACTTTTTAATAATTGCAATAGCATCTTCAAAGTTTTCTTTTAAAGCTCTAGGACTTCCTACATAAGATGATGGCAAAACTACTACTCGTCCTGGTCTAATATTACGATCATTGGCAATGTTGTTAATATGTTCATGTAAGGCATCATACTGCCCGCTTCCCAGCTTATTTTGATTATTTCTGATAAAAGCAAGACGTTGGCCTTTAATTTTTACATATGCATCTTCATCATATTGCTGAAATAGTTTCTTGCCATAAAATAATAAACAGAAAAAATGCCTAACAGAAAGTCTATAATTGTAGAATTGAGATAATATAAAATGATTTCTAACCAGTGTGGCACGCTCAGGGTTATGCACCAACTGATTATGCCAATCAGCATCACCTCTTGGGAAAATAGCGGATAAACCATAGGATCCAAGTTGGGTGACATTCTTGATACAATTTTTAAAGGATGACCTCTTGGGTAAATAACTGCTTCCCTGGAAGTTGGGGGAGAACCATCTTCGCCAGCAAATACAACTGCAACTTCATCATGTGAAGGTAGATTATAACGACGTCTATCACCGCCTTCAAGTAAAGACATTTTTACAACAGAAGCTGAGCGACCTTCTATAGCCGCCTTTCGAATTTTTTTATCTTCTACTTCAGCCATGTTTTTTAATGCAAGAGCAAATGGATTTTGTTCCATAATTATAGTTTGCTATTGAAATCATTAAATCACGTAAACAAAGATAATTATCACAGTGTTGCATTCTAAAATTTAGTGCAGCAAGTGGATCATAAACATATAGTTGAGAATATATTGATGGAATATCTTGATCTGGCCTAAGATTACCTACACGATGAAAAATCTGGCCACATATTTTAAAACATAGAAGCTCATGATTCATTGGTTGAACTACATTTGCTGCAAAAGAAAGGCAGGCATTATAAATTCGAATATGTTTTAAAAAATTATCATTAGCATTACGATCTACATAACTCCCTGTAAACAAATCATGTAAAGCTTGTGTAATTGGTGAAAGTGGAGGCTAAGGTACCATTATAGCAACATAGAAAATGTGTTTCATCAGGAAATTTCTTAGTACCACAGTGCTGAAAAATTTGATTCATTTCTCCTAAATAGTTATAATCTGGAATAACATTACTTGTCGCTATAGAATACATTTGTCCTTGTCCAACAGCTCTTCTTTCATTTTGGCGACAATTGAAATTTTCTCGATCAAGCTTTTTTTTTTCGTTTTGGCGACTATTAGCGTTTTCACGATTAAGCCTATTTCTTTCATTTTGTAAATGATTAATTTCATCTCGCCTAAGTTCTATTTTAAATACGCCTTTTTGCACTTACATCATTTTGTAAATACATAACTTCATCTAGCCTATCATTCATTTCAATGTCATCATTTTGATTAAACATATTTATCAAAGCAACAGTATTTATTTCTTTTTTTTACTACTCTAAAGTTAAAAATAAAATAAAAAAACTTAATAAATAACTAAAAAAATCTTACTCAAAAAATAAAAAATAAAATTCTAAAATCAAATATATAAAAAATCCAAACTAATGCAAAATAGAATTAATTTGCCATCGTCAAAAGTAATACTGGTTTCTTAAGTTTATTTGAAAGAAGTTTAGAAAAACCTGCAACTAAATTAGCAAAAACTTGATACAAAAAGTTAAAATTTATTCTGTTTCTAATAAAGAAAAAAAAATTTAGAAACAAACAACATATCTTCGCAGACAGCGTCATAAGGCATGCGTTGGGAGAAAATATTGAACAAAACGGGAAATAAAACTTATTAACGCGTTATGTACAATAGAAAACGGGTTATTAAATCAGGTTTATAAATTTTTTTCCCCCAACACACTATTACGCTGCCGCAACTCCAAGGATATACATAGTTATATATATATATATATATATATATATATATATATATATATATATATATATATATATATATATATATATATATATATATATACATATATATACATATATATAAAATATATATATAATATATATATATATATATATATATATATATATATATATATATATATATATATATATATATATATATATATATATATATATATATATATATATATATATATATATACATATATATATATATATATATATTTATATATATATATATATATATATATATATATATATATATATATATATATATATTTATATATATATATATATATATATATATATATATATATATATATATATATATATATATATATATATATATATATATATAGAACATATATGTATATATATATATAGAACTATTTACTAGCGAAAACATATGAAAACCAAAATTTTTTATATAATATAAATATAGTATACTTGATAAATAAACCTCTAAAATTTTTTTGGTTCAACAACTTGATTATAATTAATAACAACTCTGTAAATATAAATTTTTTAATGATCTAAGTCTTTATAAAATAGATATTATATTTTATATCTTAATTTTAAATTAAATAAATTATATTTATCTTAACCATAAATTAAACCTTTATAAATTAGATATAAATAGAAAAACAAACATATAATAACACAATTATATCCTAAACCAAAATTCAATCATGAAAGGCAAATTATTAAACTTTTTCAAAAGAAAAAAACATATTTTTTTTCAAAGAGCAAAAATATTAACAATACTATAGATAAATTTTGTTTATAACAAAATATTGTCATGGCTTTTATCCCAATTATTAAAATCATTTGAAAGCATGAAACTACCCATAAACATCTTTTAATGGTGGTATACACCATCTAAGAATTATAGTAATCTATATTTTCAATACTTACATGTATAACACGAAGCTTTAAGTTTAAAAGTACAATTTAAAAAAGATTACAATAAACTATTTACTTATAAAATTTTAAAATGATTTTATAAATACGCAATGTCTACTTAGACACTTTGAAAAGATTATGATTTTGAAAACTTGAAACTTTAAATTTAAATTTTAAAAAACTGAAACTTTAATTTTACCTCAAAAAAATACAGATATATATTGAAAAGTATTTTTATTTCTTTTTAAAAATTTAAAAATGCTTTTAAACATACTTCCTCCAATATAATTATATAATATATATAGTATACATGATAAATAAACCTCCACAATTTCCTTGGTTTAACAACCTGATTATGATTAATAACAACTCTGTAAACATGAACTTTCTAATAACCTAAATAAATTACAGATAGACAAACATAAAATAACTCAATTTAATCCTAAACCAAAATTCATTCATGAAAGGCAAATTAGTTTATATTTATTGAAGAGCCAGAAACATATTTTTTTTCAAAGAGCAAAAGTATTAACAATATTAAAGATAAATTTTATTTTAACAAAATTTTCAATAAAAATTAATTTAAGATAAGTTTATAACAAAATGTTGTCATAGCTTTTATCCTAATAACCAAAACTATGTGAAAGCATAAAACTACCCATAAATATATTTTAACGCTAGACACAATCTAAGAATTAATGTAATCTATAACAGAAAGCTTTAAATTTAAAATTACAATTTTAAAAAGATTACAATAAGTTAATTACTTATAAATTTTAAAAAAGATTTTAGATTACCTATAATTTGAAGCTACTAAAAATTATCTATTTAATGTCAACTTGGACATTTTGAACTCCTACCATGAAAGGTTAAAAAGAAATCTTTAAGAAAGCACGCGGTAAAGAAAAGTCTAGAAACTACCTAAAAAGTGTATTTTACAGATACAGAACCGTACCGTAACTATAAAACAATACGCGTAAATATGCGCACTAATAATATTTATTCGGCTATTATTATTTAGACTAGCAGTAAGCAATCCGTTATACGCGTTGTTAGTAAATAAGATTATAAAAAAACCGCGCATAGAAAAGCTTAGAAACTACTTTAATATTGAAAAGCCTAGAAAATGACGTAACTCAACTAATAATAATATTAAATTAGCGTATTCATATTATCGGATGGACATTGTTTTTCTTCTATTTTAATTCAACAAATTAGAAAATTAAGTTACTCCAGCTTCTGTTGTAAAAGTCACATCTCAAATAAATTCTTTAACGGATTATGCTCTAGACAATATTCCTTTCATATTCTTACAAAAGTGTTCTACAAAATGCTCTTCAATTCTCTCTAAACTATTTAACATGTGCTTGACTAAATCTTCTTTTCCTGCCTCTTAGAAATTAGCATCTACAGTTACAATTTTCGAAAACTATGACCCCTCCAACTATATTTTAATTCTTTGATTAACAAATTTCTGTTCTTTGTTCAAACAGCTAAACAGAAAATCAATACGGTTTTCAATCTTCTCATTATACGGCTGACATTTTGTTTTGTATTAGACAGATGATATAATGTAATTCCTCTTGCTTTTGATATATATAAATATTTTGATAAAGATTAACATTCTGGTCTTCTCCAAAATCTTTTCAATCAAAAATCAAAACTTCATATTGTCTATATAGTAATGTTTATGAAATTATCGAATCGATAAAGCTTGGCATTCTAGTCTTCTCCAAAATCTTTTAAATCAAAAATCAAAACGTTATATTGTCTTTATAGAAATGTTTGTTAGATTATCAAATTGTTTCTTTCTAACTGCTTTATTTAAGACATCTTTAAAAATCAACACTCTTCTTCTTTTCCAGTAACTTCTGTAATATCTCAAGTTTTTATTTTTGATCTTTTTTGGTTTCTAATTTACATTAATGATTTTCCTGACAACCTTTAGTCTAAAATTGATTTATTAGTGGATGACTCAAGTTTATATTCTTGTAGTGGCAATTGACTTTACAGTTTTTTCTTAAGAGTTCTTTATTAAGAAATTTTTTATTTTAATTTTTCTAATTTCTGGAGAAAATTTTTAATATTTCTCGATTAAAAAACTTTTGTTGGCACGCTAACAAATGTTCAAAATGTAATCTCTTTTAGTTAAATTATGCCGCATTGTTTGTCGGTTTTGGATGCGTATAAATATACTTTAAGTTCACCGAAACCAATTCGAGTGTTACGAAAAATAATAATAATAAAAAAGTAGGAACTTTTTATTATATTATGCGTATATATTGTACTAATATGTGGTTTAATTAATGTAGTGATTGTTGACAAGTGCAGAAACATGATGTAAATCGTTATAAAATACTATAATATATTGCCACGTTGGTAAATGATGTCTACGTTTTAATGGCTGTACCATGCAAACACTCTATGGCGGAATTTACCTATACGGAGTGTACCTATAAAGGCATTTTGAGCGTACTGCTGAACTTTTGCTTATCAGTTTCTTAGTAGTCGATTAGTGGTATATTAGAGAAACAAGACTCCAATGAACTGCTAAAAAATGTCTGTATAAGCTCACTGCAAATCCAATAAAATAATGTTTGTTGGAAAGTAGTTATTAACGGTTTTGTAATTATAAGTAAATGTTAAGGGAGTTAAACTTGATATAAATAAAATTTAGTCTAAAAAATAGAGAATGAGTTTGAATTTTTATGGATCATTTATAAAATAAAATTGCTGTAATGCAACGCATGTAGATTTC